GTGATCAATGAGTCCAAGCCAATCATCTACATGAGACATCCATGAAAGCCTTGACTATAGCATTTCGTCGAGCACTTGATTGACTGGAAATTTGGAACTGAGTCTGGAGAGAAAAGGGCAAGAAAAAAAATGCTCAGAGAAGTATTTTATGAAGGCAGACTGAGTCGGGCCGTGTGAAGTATGAGAGTTGAGAGGGAGACCTGGTAGAGGGATCGGAAGCTCATCCTGCCCCGCGAGAGCTGGCCTGTCAGACGGCCCGGAGCCAGGCCACCGGGTCCGTTCACGGCGGAGGGGGCGTCGTCGTTGTCACCTCATCGGATAGCCATGCGGCGGGCGAGTGCGGGCCGCACCATCACGCGCCGGCGCCGGCGCAGCACCGCCGCAGTTTAAGGTCCCATTGCGCGTCGAGGGCAGCGTTGATCTGTCGCCGAAGGCATTTCCTCCGCGGGTGTCGTGGCTGGGCCATTTTTTCTGGCCCAAGTCATCGCCGCTCGCCGACGCCATGAGGAATTTCTGGCCCATGACGATTTGTCTTTGTTTGTTTTTTTTTTCATTATTTATTATTGATGCTAAATTTATTTATTTTTTATTTTTTCACATGTACCTTTTTCCCTTTTACTATTTATTTATTTATATTATTTTTTATTTCTAAAATACTTAGGTGTGTATTAATCATCTAAGTTTTTGTTGTGAACTTTGGGATTGTTCCGAACTTTAAAACAATTTCTAGCCAAGTTTGGAACATTTTCCCATTCTTAAAAGAGAACATGTTTTCTTTTTAAGCAGGAATAGTTTTCTCATTAAGTTGGAATATTGGTACATTTTTTTCAATATACAATATTTCTCTTCTCTTTTATACTTCTTACTCTTCCTGTTTTAATTTTTTTATTTTACTTATTGTTTCTTTATATATACGGCTTGTTCTATCGTTATCATTCTTTGGTTCCTTTGTTTGAGAATTTCATTTTCACCATATGTTTTTTGTTTCTAATGCCATGACCATTTCTTTTTAAAATATGTAGTATTTCTATTTTCCTGTGAACCTAGAATCTCCTATATCATCCTGGGCACCTGGAGTATTTGCAAACAGAAGATCTCCACGCCCCTCACTCTTGCTTCTGAGGAGTGCCACATATGGATTGTGGTAGGAACTAAGGGGCTGTCCTTTATCATAGCCCCTAGCTCAGATAGATAGGCTCTCCAGGTTAGCCCCTGTCCTTCTTTGTTTCTCCCTCTTAATCTTAAACTTTAGTTCTTATCGCATTGGATGTTTAGACACATGCATGGAGTATTAAATATAGATTAATTACGAAACTAAATGCACAGATTGAGACTAATTTGCGAGATGAATTTTGTAAGCCTAATTAATCTATTATTTGATAATGTGGTGTTATAGTAAACATATGCTAATGATGAATTAATTAAGCTTAATAAATTTGTCTCGCGGATTACTGCTGACTTGTGTAATTTGTTTTATTATTACTATCTGAACACTCTCACGTGACACCTCTATATAATCCTCGATGTGACATCCATAAACTTTAGCTCGTTAATTTAAACTACTAAATTTTAACGACGCGCGACTGGTGGGCCTCTGCCATCGGGTGCAGAGACGCAGGTGCTCGGCGAGCACTGCGACCTGTGGGGCGAGTCATCGCGCTGTCTCCTGCGTGGTGCACTATGTGGGGCCTGCTGTCGCTGAGAGGAGCAGCGCGTCGGGGCGAGCGCGCCTGGTGCAGATGTGCACGCGCGCCGGCCTCCACCAAGGGCCAAAGGACACACGGGTCCCTGTGCCGCTCGGGTTTCCTTTGTTGAAAGTGTCGTTGTTGTGCCCCTATGACCGCACCTTCTCTCGATCCTTCGTTCTTCTCGCCGGATATGCCCGTCGCTATTCCTGGGTGTGCCTCTAGTTCTCCGCATTGGTCTATCCTACTAAGTGCTTGACTTAGTCACCGTCGTTTGGCCTATGACAGATGCTTTGTCGTCGTTGTCCTCGGTCCTCTATCTGGCATAAATATACATTGCTATCATATTGCTGTGGGCCTGTCACTTTGCGGATATTTTGCCGTCGTCGCTGTCCTAGGTCCTTTCTCTGGCAGATGCTTTGCGGCCAAGTGTGTATGGGCCTGTCTCCTTGTGAATGCTCTTGGGCGGATGCTTAGCCGCCGATGTTTGCTAGTTCTTCACCTTCTCTAGGTGGATGCTTTGCCACCATGGTCAGCTCTGTAGGCAGCCTTTGCATTTGTGTATCTTCTTCTCGCAGGATTTTAGCTAGTGGGGTTTTGGGGTTGAGGTTCTTCTCCCCCGTCACTGTTCTTTCTATCTTTTTTTCACTTTGGTCGGCTTTCCTGTCACTTTTAATTTCTTCTCTATTTCATCCTTATGTGGGGCAATCAATGGCTTGCCGTGTTTGTAATGCTATCCTCTCAATCGGTCGCGAAAAATAATTGGCTGGCTTATAACTGACATGAACAACCTAGTTTACAACTGAAATTGAAAGTTATAGACCCACATGATACAATAATCCAAGGCACCCGTCAAACATCTCCTAGCTTGAAGGTTAGGTTGTTTTTTACCTTCTACTTGTTCCGTCTTAAAATAAACGACGTTTTCAGACATTTTGTTACGTGGAGGCAATCTTTCATCCTCGGTATTTTATTAATCGAAGAGAGACAGTCGCCTGTAGTGTTAAAAACAAATGCTTTGATGAGCTACGTGTCCAGTTTGAAGCTCTGAGCTGTCCTCTTCTTCTGGAAACCACGAAACCTTCGTTCCTTTGTTTGTTTGCTCAGTTCACTGTTCATAGCAGCATCCCGTACCTACCATGCCATACCAGAAGGAAGTGCAGCAGGCAGGCAGCACAAGGTGGCCTCCTCCCATTGGCTCTCTCCACCACCTCACGCGCCCACGTGTCCCCCTACGCCTCTGTCTGGGCCCGCAGCACTGACGCAGCGCTCCACAGCCCCCACCGTCCACTCTGCTTTTTTTTTCATTTCTCAATGGAGTAAGTCTCCTATCTATTTTCGTACACACATCTTTAAAAATATGGTAGAAACGTGTTATTTGAGTCATGAATTACGTGACGGAGATGTTTAGCGGTATTTAGGTAAACAAAGACGGTGCCTTATATTAGGGAATACATAAGCAATTGCTCATGCCATAGCCCCATCTTGATCCATAAAAATTATGCTTGGGTGCTTGCCTGACATTGCTGCTAAGAAGGTCTCAAAAAGTCAAACAAATGATTCAATAGTTTCGTTACATAGCAACGCAGCCCCAAAATTTACCGTCTGCTTTGTGATGGTTGGTTCCCAGAATAGGAGAAAAGGCATTTGAAACTTATTAGTCTCAAATGTAGTGTCAAATGAGACAGCATCGTCAAAACATTTGTAATCCATGATAGACTGACCATCCATCCAAAAGAAATTTGCTATGCGACCATCTTTCATGTCTACCTGGATTGCATAAAAACTGCAAGATCATGTAACTTCTTATTTCTTAAGTATTTAGATAGTGTTTGTGCATCATTGGCTTCTAGATACTGCCTACGACCACGACCAATCTCATTATCAGAATCCATCTTAGCAAATGGCACTTTGTCCGGCCCTCCATAACATTCCTTCATGAACTCATACTCTTGGGCAAGTTTCATACCAACTTCTCGTATCTGGCCAGTTAGCTTCCTGTCTGCCTCTATAAGACATCGTCAGGACCTCAACTTATGTGACTTATTTGGACTAGCAAGGTAATGATTCTGATCTAGTACAACCTTTTGCACTGTCCGTCCTTGTAATGTCCTTCTGTGATAACTCATTTTCTCGAAACCCTTGGCTACTGCAAACCATATGTTTTTGAAATATAGTATTATCTTGGCGGCGCTTTGTCTTGCTCTTTCTAATACCGAACCCAACCTAACCAGCGTAGGTGTTATATATCGCATAAGCTGTCTTCTGATTCAAAAGTCATTCCAACTTCAGGAGCAATTAACTTTTCCCTAGCTTTATGCACCACCTCCTGTAAAAATCATTTGTAAGTTGAATCCTATCACACAATACATAAGATTCACGTATCGTGTCGTCGCCATGAATGTTGGCATTACTGCGAATGGTATCTGCTCCCATAGTAGATACGGTGTCCTATGCAATATGTGCAGTGGCGGATGCAGAACATGATTGAAGGGGGCTGATCTCTTTTTCTTCCTCTTTCTCTCCATTTTTCTTCTTTCCTCCACCTCTTCTTCTTCCCCACCCTCTCCATATTTCCATTAATGCACCAGCTGTAGGGGGCTGGAGCCCCCAAGCCCCCCCCCCCTTCCTTTAGATCCAAGTCTGAATATGCCTACTATATGCATGACCGAACCACATAGTAGAAAAAATAATAATATGGTTATACCGGTATGAATAGGTCATTTTATTCTTTCTTTATATAAAAATCTTAATGAGAACATATTTATACATTTAAAAAACTATTTGTTCATATTATTTTCTCCCTTACGGCAGTTCCTATCTATTCGACATGAAAGGTTCGAAATGTACGTATCTTTTGCTGGAAAAAGAAAGACTTTTTGCTACAACTCAACGCGAATTTTGAGACGTAGCGTTTACTTGTTTTTTTGAAAACAATTATTTAAAAAAAACAGTAATCTTTCATCTTCGGTATTTATGAGCTACGTGTCCAATTTGAAGCGCTGAGCTGTCCTCGTTTGGAAACCTTGTTGTTTGTTCAGTTCAAGCAGCATCCCGACTTCCCGACCTAACACCACGACGTGGCCTCCCATTGGCTGTCTCCTCCACCTCACGCGCCCACGTGTCCTCCCTCCACCACTGTCCGGGCCCCACAGCACTGACAGTCCCCACCGACGCCGTCCACTCTGCTTCTTCTTCTCCTCTGTACTTCTTGTGTAGTATAAAAGAGAGAAGCGAAAAATCTGCCGCTTGCCTCCCGCTGCATCCCAATTCTGCACTCTACTCTCGATTCGACTCACCCAGACCCAACAGGCGATGCCGAACGACGGCCCCGAGACGTCGGGCGCCGGGCCTGCCGCCTCGCCGCTGCGGCCCCGGCGGCGCGCCCGCTCCGACCCGGTCCTCCTGGTCTGCCGCTGCTTCGGCGTCGTCACGGCCGCCGCCGCGCTGCTCTGCGTCGCCGCCAACGTCCTCTCCGCGGTCTACTCCTTCCGCGGCGGCGCCGACGTACCTAATATTCTGACGCTCCCATATTCTCAATTTCCCATTGCAATGCCACCTTCCTTCCCCTGACGCCCCGTCCTCATCACCCGGGCGGCTGACTGACTATTGGGCTTCCTTCCGGTCCGCTCCTCAGATCATCGGCGGCGTGCTCCGGTGCTACGCTGTGGCGTTCTCCGTCTTCGTCGCCGTGCTCGAGACCGAGTGGGCACCCATCATCAGGGTCTGCAAGGTTTGCTCTGTCTCTCTGCTCACCGCTTTGCTTCTCTCGTTTAATTTGGATAATACATTTTTGGCTTACTGATGTTCCTGTTACTACCTGTGCCACCAGATATTTGAGTACTTGCCGGCAAGGGGAATGCTACAAATCTTGTGAGTATTGGCCTTTCGGATGGCCATATATCTCTGCTATGAAAAAAGTTTGAAAAGTTCTAAGTCCAAACATTGTATCCAGCTGGTACTTAATTTTAAGCTTCCTCTGTTGAGTTCCTTTCTAAACTACTTTGCTTCTTGGCAGCGTTGCTATCATGACCAAGGCGTACCCAAATGTTGAGAGGAATGAATTGATTTTGCTCCAGGAGATTGCTACCTATATGCTTCTTGCGTGTGGACTTGTCTACATAGTTGCAGTAAGCCTGCAGAGTTTTAATTTGGGCACTCATGCTTCATTTCTGTCAGCATTACTGCTTTTTTGTTATTTCTGATATTTTAAATGTGATACTGTTAGATATCAGATCTCGTAGGTAGGACACTGTTAGTTGCCTTACTGTTTTCAACCATCTTCGGTTTGGGAGACTTAGCTCAGTAAATACCAGTGGAATGCTTGAAGTATGGACTGGAATTTCTCTACAAACATAGTATCATGGTAGCGGCATCTAGTAATACTACCATCCCTGTCCTCGCACGCCTGTCATAGCAAAGTATGATCTTGTGCTCTTTTTTCCCGCTTTTTGGAACGAAAAGTATGATTATGAGTTTATGACCTTGTGATTGTAGTGGAACGAATGATCAACAATACCATTACATATATACTGTGTCATTCATCTTTTGCGTGAGCTAAAAACTTTAATTTCAACATGTAGGGTATACTCTGTCTTGGTGTGTTAAAACGTTCTAGGCAGCATAAAGCAACATCACAGGAGCAAGCAGTCAAAGATCTGGAGGTTAGTACTTATTGGTTCCTACTCTAGCAGTGATAGCATCAGATCCTGAGGTGTGGCTTGTCTGTTTCCTGACCCCCCCTGGTGTTCTCAGTTTGCATTACATCATTTTTGTAGCTCATGCCTGAATTTACGCAGTGTGGCTTAGCTCAACCATCCTCGGATTTATTTACATTTAACTCAGAACAGGTCCATGAATCTGTACTTGTTTAGATTCTTGTTTATTGTTCAGGAGATTATGTTACCTGAAAACTTAGTGCAGTGTATTAGAAATATAGAAACCTCACATTTCGAAAAGCAGAATAATGTTTGTTAACAGTTTTTTTAACACAATAATGTTTGTTAAGAGTTAAGGTACCAAGTTATAGTATAGCATCGGCTCACAAGAGAATTACATCCCTTCCTAAAAGATGGTACACATACCTGCAAAAGAAAAAAAAAAGAGGGGGATACAGACCATTGTTTTATGTTGGTTAGAGCTAGATAATTATCTCTTGAATACTGTGTTTCCAAACCTGTTCTTCTTAGTTTCTATGCAGATAGCCAGATACATCTTATATGGTACAAGTATAAATGTTGTCCTATACTCCTGTCGCTACTGAACATTGTTGATCATTTCTCATTTCCTGAACCATGGTATTAAAGGAGCTAGAGAAGAGGAGAGAAGAGCTTCAGTCTCTGTTAATTGCGGAGCAGCCAGAGATGGCCTGATGTCCACCACAATGACCTACCATCACTCTTCTGGTGTAAATAAGTGTTCTTTTTCTGTTGAGTTTTGACATGTTTAATGTTGATAGCATACTGCTTTGTCACGGCCATCGGTTTCATCCGTGGGTCACTTTGTTGAAGTGTATCACCTTCTCTACTTCCTCTGTAAGTGTGAATCCTTGATTCTAAACTTGATATATCCATGCTACTTTTATTGATAAGGCTTTGCATTTGCTAACGCCAAGCTTTTAACTAACAGACCTCGCGGCTTTCCTCTGGGCTTCCGGCTCAATTGTGGGATTTCAGTTTCAGAATATTGTGCCACCCCATCGTCTGGAACATGTTTTAGTTGTGTAATGTAGTTGTATACTCCTGTGATGATCTCTTGTTGTATGTGTTGCTGCATAATTCGCCTGAATTTTGTTTGTAACTAGGGTCTTGTTCGAGAAATAGAGTCAAAACAACTTTTCATTCGATAGATGAATAGTAGCAACTCGGTAGGATTATGATTTTCTGCATTGTGCACCTATTTTTTTTACAACATAGTCACTATGCGCAATCAAGTTCGGCCGTGCAATGTGCAGGATAGATGAGGCCAACAAACAAAAGTAATTTAAAAAAGAGATTTGAGAGGAACATGATGTCATATTAACCAAATACCTCGGCACCTCCTAATGACAATACTTTACTTATCGGAAAACTACTACAATAAACAGATTATCAACGGCTTATGTTTCAAATGATACTAGATAATGTGGGCATATACTACGTGTTGTGCCATTTATCTTAAAATATCAACAACAATCACTTTAAATCTTTATCTTAAAATATTAACAACAATCCCTTTAAATCAATTAACGAAACAAATATATTACCTATATATAGCTACGGACATTACACACATTTCCAAATCCAGCCCATAAGCTATCAACCACAAACATGATTGTCAAAAAGTCATAGCTTTTACAATTGTAGCTTTTTGGACTCCACTACAGGCCACCTACTATTGTTTTGAAATGACATATATCAAGAGAATTGTTAAAGAGATGAAACGGTGGACGATTTAGGTGATATATGTATAGCATGGGGACGCTCACATTCTTCTCTTTGTGATGTTTTTTTTATAAAAAAACTAGCTACTCTTTTCGTTCTAAATTATAAGTTGTTATGCTTTTTTTAGGTACACAGTTTTTTACTCTAGATATTCTAGCCGAGTTGGTTAGGTGGCTGTAGTAGCACTTCTCAGATTCTGGGTTTGACTCCCTATGGAAGTGAAGGCTAGGATTGGGACTAAAAAATTCCCTCGGCTATCCCATCCTCCTACTCTATGTTCATTTGACAACGATGTTAGATTGCACGGTTAGATCCATATCTAAACGGCACTGACCAAAGAATGTGCAAGCATAACACCATAGAAGAAAATATGCAAGCAAGCTCAGGGATTGACGACTGCTAGTGCTCCTCCCCATAAGACATCAACTACATCGGCATCTAGGAGCTACCACGTCTTTGTCGCCACCCAAATGCCGCCATGGCACTCCTCCCCATAAAACAATAGCTACATCAAGCATAACACCATAGAAGAAAATATGCAAGCAAGCTCAGGGATTGACGACTGCTAGTGCTCCTCCCCATAAGACATCAACTACATCGGCGTCTAGGAGCTACCACGTCTTTGTCGCCACCCAAATGCCGCCATGGCACTCCTCCCCATAAAACAATAGCTACATCAACATCTGGGAGCTACCACAGTTTTGCCGCCACCGAAACACCACCAAGTCGTCTCATGGTTACCGTAGGGGTTACCTTGTATTTATGCCCCCCTAGATACAAAGTTTGACTTTAATTCTATCCTATCCCTTATTACAACTCAAGTCATAGTGAACCAAATTGTACACATATTGGACATGATGTGACTGGCGCGACTGGTTCACATGAGTCTGTGGCATCTAGTTGGTGTGGTGCTTGCTTCAGCAATGTCTGGATCGTGTGATGTAGCGGGGACGGCTTGTCCTTGGGCACTGAATGCGAGAGTTGCTTCTCCAGTGCTGCAAGGCATGCAAAGTACTAAACAGCAATAGTAGCAGCCGTTATGGCTACCGTAGTAGCTATTGCATGGCAACTAAAGCTGGAGAAGCAATATATATGTGTGCTAGACTGGTGGGCTAGGCTGTTATTAGGCCTCTCTACATGTCTTCAATTCTTTCGATTATTTTGGTTAACCGAGCAAAATTTGGTTCCTGAGAAATGGGAACCGAACAGGTAACTGAATTTTTGGTTTTGTTTCTTTCAGTATCGAGTCCATCTCTTTCGGTTGGGTTTTTGGTTCTCGGTTATTTTTCCCCACCCCTAATTTTGCACGTAGCCTATATTAGCCTTTATCTCCCATCTCCTCATCCATGGTTCGTACATCACTTCCCTTGCTTCAATACTTAGTAAGTACAGTCACCTACGATCCATCGCCTTTGACCCTAGCACCATAGCCTCCTGTGTCTAGAACAACATCCAATACTTCTAGGAAAACTCCTTTCTCTATATCATTGTCGGCAACAAGGTGGTTGTGAGGGACACCAACAAAATCAACCCGACCATGTAGAACATAAACAATGAACTTAGCAATGATGGGCTTAGCAGCATAAAAGGTGTCCATTGTCAACTTCCTACCCTCACAAGAATACATGGCACCCATCATGTAGAGCTTGCAGAGCACCCTCACATTACCTCTCAACAATGTCTACCACTAATTCAGCTGAATCTGTAACATGACATGAATCGACATTAAGGATGTGTTCTTGAGCTCCCCTAACACAGTAGTTTAGCATGGGCATGGTATTTAGGTTGCATTGGGACATTGTGCAAAGGCCAAGTACCCCTTGGGGTCATCTTAGGATCAGATGCCATTAATGCCCACTATTGTGGTTGCCATTGTGCTCGCACTCCTCAACATGGGTGGCATGATGATAAGCTCTTTTATCACCTTAGCTTCGCGTCGAGCATGAAGATACAAGCTTGGTGGTCAGTGATGAGTTGAAGATGTGGATCTATGCTCACATTGTTAGGCCGACTTGACGAGCAATTTTCAAGGAGAAGGGTTGGAGATTGACCACAGTGAAGCTCGCCCAAACGCAAGGATGGCTTGGCTATCATGGCACAATATTACGACGGTGGATGGATGCATTAGAGAAGATGCTCCTATCGTCGCCTTCATGTGCGCTTGACAGGGAGGCAAGGATGTGGATGTGGGCTAGGGGTGATGCAAGCATCATTGGGTGTGTGGGACTTAGACCTCATCACACTCATCATCAATGTAGATTGGGGTTTGATGGGAGGAAAGGAATTACAAAGCTAGAGCCACTGTCAAAATAGAGAGAGGGAAGGAGAAATGAGCCTCCGAAGAAATGAGTTGTGCTAATAAATGGGCTCTAGGTGTTGAAACAACTCAGGACATGGCAATTAAGCAAAATGGAACCGAGTTTGGGCAAAACTATCTTTTTCACATAAGAAACCATGTTGGAGCCCGAGATGGCATGGCAAATTGTCAAAAGTGGCAACAGGAAGAGTGTTTTCCCTCTCCAGTGGCAAGTTGGGGGCATTTGTAAATTTGGTAAATGAAGAGTGGCCACATGAAAATTTTGGCAAGAAATCAATTAGCTGGAGTTTTATTTGGCTTGGTGTTGTGGGCTATACCTAAGTACCATTTCTAATTTGTCCAATGTTTCCCCAATCCTATCAGCCGCCGCACTACCATTCCATCATGGAGGTGGTCTTCAGATCCAAGAGGAGGAGGAAACTTGCGAAAGAGGAAGAGCACATCGACTACATCAGCTGCCTCCCTGACACCATCCTCAGAGACATCATCTCCCTTCTTCCCACCAAGAATGGTGAATGCACGCATGTCTTCTCCTCCTGCTGGTGCCAGATCTGGCGCTCCGCTCCTCTCAACCTTGACCTCAACCCCGACTTCGATGTACTCCCCATTCCCATGTATATCCCCACCAGAGTAATCTTGAGAATCCTCTCCACACATCAGGGCCCCATCCACCGCTTGTCCATCCCCGAGGTCTACCTATACTATAGGAATGACCATGCCATGATCTTGGACATCTGGCTACGATTCCCTACCGTTGACAGACTACAAGAGCTTGAGTTCCAACATGACCGCCATTGTAGGCGGATCCCACCACTACCGCCACTTCCTACATCGGTACACTGCTTCTCGTCAACCCTTCGTGTCGCAAGCTTTGGTCACTGCAATTTCTTGGGTGGAAATAGTGCCAACAGGCACCACTTTCTGCTTCTCAAGAACTTGAGCCTTTTTGATGTCAACATCTCGGAGAGTTCTCTACATTCCTTACTTGCTTCCTGCCCTATCTTGGAGAGCTTGCTACTAATTGGCCAAATGGGTTGCTCCCACATCCAAATTGTGTCACCGACCCTTAGAAGCATTTGCGTGTGTCCTGGTTATTTAAACTTTGAGTTGCCACAACTCATTATCGACGATGCCCCTTGTCTAGAGAGGTTACTTCATTTTCAAAAATTTAATAGCATGAAATCTCCATCTCAGTGATCTCAGCACCAAAGTTGCATGTTTTGGGGCCCATATCTTACTCACAACTTTAGTGTCAAGTTTTTCACCACATTTTTTCAGGCATCACCATGCTTCTCGCTTTCATGTTCATGATGATACAAGTTCCTTTCTCCCAATAGATGAAGAAAAGTTCATATGTTTGACTATGATGCTGACCATAGTTACCTGTGCTTTACTCAGGGACCGTACTTTGTTAGCTTGATGACAGTGGTGCACAGTGTGAAGGTCCTGGCATTAACCCAAAAGCATCTTAGTTTGGACACAGTTATTGACTTATTGAAATGTTTTCCATGCTTGGAGAAATTATACATCAAGGTGACTAAACTTACTCTATAGTTATTTCTTCATCTGCATGCTTTTGTCACTATTGCATCAAATACATGTTTTAATGCTTGGTTGTGACAATTCTCTGTTCATTTTGCTTTTTCAGACAAATGGCAGGGGAGAAAAATGTGTGGTGTCATAAACATAGGAATTTTATTGGGACCTTTGAAATTCGTCTGAAGAAAATTGTGTTGACAAACTATCGTGGCAACACATCGCATGTTAACTTTGCCAAGTTCTTTGTTTTGAATGCGAGAATGCTACAGTCCATGAGGCTTGAATTATTTGTTGGAAATCCTAGCAGTGCATGGATTGACAAACAACATAAACTGCTCAAAATAAAAAATAAGGCTTCAAGGGATATGCATCTTGATCTTGTGTCTAATTACCGCTTAACTCGGCCTAATCCCTTTGTGTGTGCCGAGCAAGTACATGATTTGTCAACAGCCGACCCCTTTCTAAGGTTTCACGACTGGGTCCTCCAATGACCATGATAACCTCTCACTACTGGAAACAGAGACTTTGCCGAGTGCAAAATTCTTTGCCGAGTGTCAAAAATCGGGCACTCGGCAAAGACCTTCTTTGCCGAGTGCTGCACTCGGCAAAGAATTGCACTCGGCAAAGAGTTCTTTGCCGAGTGCCGGGCACTCGGCAAAGAAGGGCACTCGGCAAAGGACTTCTTTGCCGAGTGTCAGACTCTCGGCAAAATCTCTACACTCGGCATAGGCTGCCCGCGAAACGGTGTTCGGTCACGGCCTTCTTTGCCGAAAGTGCCTGCTGTTGAGACACTTTCGGCAAAGATTTGATTTTTTAAAAAAATTCTTTGCCGAGTGCCCCAGATCCGCACTCGGCAAAGAATTTTTTTAAAAAAATTTTGCCGAGTGCCCCGCACGGCACTCGGCAAATATTTAATTTTTTTATAATTTCTTTGCCGAAAGTGCACTGTGGATGCACTTGGCAAAGAGGAAATTTTTAAAAAAATTAAAACCTCTTTCTTAGAAAGTGCCTTATGCCCTGCACACTTCGGCAAAGATACTTTGCTTCTGCCGTGCCATGCCCCAAGACTCGGTAAAAGTTTTTTTGTTTTTTTGTTTTGGCCTCCAATTTTTTTGTGCAGCCCTTTTAAAGCACCAGGAACTCCTAGTTACAATTTGAGGATTTTTTGTGGTTTTTTTATATATTTAGTTACTTTATTTTGTTTACTTGAATTTTTTCAAAAAATAGAAATTTGAATCATATAATACGAATAATAGAATTTAATGATTCAAAAATTGATAGTCATGTTAGTGAGTGTTGTGAGAGGCCGTATCCAGGAACAGATCCGAAATTTCGGACATCTTGTTCACGAAACATGTCCGCGAAATTGCGCGTGAAGTGTTTTTAAATTCTATAAAAAGCAAACGAAGTCCGAAAATCATGAAACTTGTTGAGATGTCGTGATATCATATGTGGAGGCTATGATAAAAATTTTAGAAGATTTCGTGTACGTTATCACATACGATGCTTACAAACCAGGACATCTCTACATGTAAGATCTGATATCACATATGGAGATGTCCTAGTTTGTAAGCATCATACGTGACAACGTGCACGAAATCTTCTCAAATTTTTATCATAGCCTCCACATACGATATCACGACATCTCAATGAGTTTCATGATTTTCGGACTTCGTTTTTTTTATAGAATTTAAAACACTTCGCACGCAAAGTTCATGGTCATATTTCGTGAACAAGATGTCCGAAATTTCAATCCGATCCTAGATACGGCCTCACACTACACTCAAAGAATATGACTATCATTTTTGAATCATTAAATTCTATTATTCGTATCAAAAAGTGCGCTCAAATTTATATTTTTCAAAAAATTCAAGTAAACGTAAATAAAAGTAACTAAATATATCAAAAAGCCACAAAAAGTCCCCAAATTCTAAGGAGGAGTTCCTGATCCTTTAAAAGGGCTGCACAAAAAACTTAGAGGCCAAAAACAAAAAAAAATAAAAAAACTTTGCCGAGTGCCGAAAAATGGCACTCGGCAAAGAGGCTCTTTGCCGAGTGTAAAAATAAGACACTCGGCAAAGAGGATTTTTTATTTTTTTATAGAAATTTTTTCTTTGCCGAGTGCCTTCACAGAGGCACTCGGCAAAGGAATTAAAAAAATAAAAAATTTACCGACGGCCGGATCGGAGCACTCGGCAAAGTTGCCTCCTTTGCCGAGTGCCTCCCTGATCCGGCGCTCGGCAAAGGGCGCGGGTGGGGCACTTAGCCGATTTCGGCCGGCCGGGCAGTCCAAGCCTCAGACAGCCAGCCAGCCATCCGCACCCACGCCGGCCCGCCCCCGCCCCCACGCCGCGCGCCGCCCTCCGCGGCCACGCCGGCCCGCCCCCGCCCCCGAGCCGCGCGCCGCCCTCCCGTCCCCGTGCGCTGTGCCCGCCGGCCACCGGGCCGCGCCAGCCATCGGATCGCATCTCGCCGGAGCCCGCTCGAGGACCTCCGCGCAGCCCATCGCCACATCGACCTCCTCAAGGTACACGAGTCACAAGGACTCTCTCTGCTCTCCTCCCGTTCGCTATTGATTCGTCATTCATTTCCTCTCCTTGCCCAGGCCGAAGCCGTTATGAACGCCGGCGGCCTCCGCCGCTGCGTCGAGAGCGTCGAGGAAAAGGAGGCCGTGGCCGCCGCATGCGCCGACCTCTCCGACAAGAGCAGCAAGGAGTGCCGGCTTACGAGCGGGACCTCGAGCGCGCCATGGAGTCCTGCGACGACCTCGTCAGGCTGAACGACGATGACCTCTGCGCACGCCTAAACCAGAACGTACATGTCAGTTACCTCCTCTATTTTTTTCGATCTAATCATGCTACTAGCCTATATCGCTTATGCGTGCCTCGATCTGATCTGATCTGTTTCTACTGCTATGCACTAACGAGCGCATCTAATCGCAATTCACAAACAGCTAATGATGTCGAACCACTATAAGTCGTTGGGATGCATACAAGCTCTGTCATTTGTTTTTATTATTCAGGCCAAAAGCATGTTTTAGAATTTTATTTAGGGATTAACCCCGGCTTAATCAGCCAAGATATATGTTTTTGATGATGTTCATCATATATAGATCTAAAAAAGGCAAGAAAGTATCTGGTTAATACATGTAGCTATCCAAATCACTTGTAGGGTAAATTAACAAATCAGTTCCAATTATAGATATCAAGCACGTATCAAGACAAAGTTCAGAACTGTTTTCTTATGTACTGTTATTAATCTACTATTGTGGTGCCACCATGAACCAAATTAGAAGCACATATTGGTAAAGAGTTAAGTGAGCATAAGCATGCTAGAATATATATTCAGCAATCTACACAAATTGAACAAGATATATGTTCATGTTCTATCTATCAGCCCACAATGTATCTGCAACCCCTTACTTCATCCGAAACATTACAAAAAAGGAAGAGCTCTGCAATGTTCATCTCAAAGAACTGTTGCTTGTGTTTCATACTCTCCCTCGCTACCATTACCGGTTTGTAACTAATTAGCACTGTATTTCTATGGATCTTCGTTTGGTGATTCTCCTTAATCATTTGTCCTCCTAAAATCCAGGTGATTCTCCTACTATTGCCGCCACAATAATTTTAAAGAATTGTGCTTAAAAGACTAGAGCTATGGCTTGTATTTTTCTGCATCAAGATGCCATCGCATATATTAAAATCCAGAGAATAATAATAAGGTTTGAGAAGCCTCTTTCAGATTATCGAAAAGCAAATGTACAGAGTAGATTTATTATGGTGAGATTGCTAATGGATTAAATATTGTACCTGTTCACTACAAAGAATGTCGTAATAAGTTCTTATCTTAATTACAGCTTTTGTTCATGTACTGATGTTTCAGTAGGTGTTCAGAGTTGCAAACTAAATATTAAAAATGACCGGATACATGGTTCGTAAATCCGCTAGCATTTCATCCATATTTTTTCTGGGTTATTTATAGATTTGGTGATGCAAAGGGCTTCAGTATGCTTTGTGATAGAGCTGGCAGCAATGACCATATATCGGTATTATTCTTAATGTGTGCAGATCCAATGTTTGTTTGGGGAATAGCTTACATTTGTAGTAAACACCACAAAGATAGCATTGTTACCTGACCATGGTAAATCGTTTGTCTATTTCTACAATGTTGGTTGTGGTATACCGACCAATTGTTGGTCGTTAATATTATGTTTTAGCGACCATTGTTCGACGCTATAGATTGGCTGTGGTACAGTGTTCTTACACGCTTCAATGTACTAGTTGTTTAACTTTAACATTTCCGTTAGCAACAATGGAAACGAGTCAAGGCAGGCAAGACTCCTACCACACTCATAGATTTGCTATTTATCAACGCCCTCGTGTCTTGGTGGCGATGCTTGCCTCGTGAGTTCATCAAGTCATTCATCACACAGCAACAGATCTTCACCGGGAATGCTAGCTTGTCCTGCCGGAGTCATCGGAAACTCATCGCCTTCACCTGGAACACCCAGGATACTCACAAGATCAGCATGTTATCATAAGCGAAACATGTATTTAAGTCTTACTGCTTATTGAAACTTTACGCAATTTAAAAAACTTTACTAAAGCAGTATTATTGTTTGTACCAAAATTGAAATGTCATGTTTGTTCCAATGG